GTTTTAATTGCTTATATTAAGCAAAGCAGACGGCACCATTTTCTTGTTTTAAAAATGTACGGATAGCCAGGGGCACACTCCAACAATTATTGACAAAAGATGCATGTGTTTAGTAAGTCCACAAGATCAGAGGCAGTTCTCTTGATAAATGCGTGAATTTGACAATTTTCAAAATGTAACGACTACTTTTGGTTGTCAGGGAAAATGTATGGAGTAAAAAGTACAATACTTTCTTTAGGAATGTAGTGAAGTAAAAGTAAAAGTTGTCAAAAATAGAAATAGCAAAGTAAAGTATAGATACCCAAAACAACTACTTAAGTAGTACTTTAAAGTATTTTTACTTAAGTACTTTACGCCACTGTCAACGCCAAACAGTACAACAGCCGGGATTCAATCTATGGTGGCTCCCACTCTGCCAAAGGATAATGAACCAATGGCTTAACACAGCAGAGTGTAAGGGCTGTTGGAAATGATAAATCCAAGGAAATATAGTGCAGTGTTCAGCCAAAAAATGATATTGACAACAATAGTTTTTTGTGGATGTATTTTCAGTGATCAGAGGACACCCTCCATTCAAGGGTTGTGAATATTCAGACCTAGAGGATTTGTGCTGGTTTTTCCTTAAAACAGCACTCACACGACAACAGAACCAACCTTTCACAATGGAAAACTACCAGAGTAGATGGCGCTATATTATTATGAGAACCGTTATCTATGCTAGCCAGGTTAGTTATGCATGGCCCTGAGAGGGAACCATGACCTGCAACTTAAGTCAACCCTTCCATAAATTCTGGTTGACCTGCAGGTAAAGTGTTTGGTCCCACGCTATGTTTTGTGTTTACTTATAATTAGGATCAGATGACTACAGCTCAAGATGGCGTGGAAAATACTTTTCATCAGGCTCAATGGAACACTGTAGAACAGGGGTCATCAGGCTCAATGGAACACTGTAGAACAGGGGTCATCAGGCTCAATGGAACACTGTAGAACAGGGGTCATCAGGCTCAATGGACCACTGTAGAACAGGGGTCATCAGGCTCAATGGAACACTGTAGAACAGGGGTCATCAGGCTCAATGGAACACTGTAGAACAGGGGTCATCTGGCTCAATGGAACACTGTAGAACAGGGGTCATCAGGCTCAATGGAACACTGTAGAACAGGGGTCATCAGGCTCAATGGAACACTGTAGAACAGGGGTCATCAGGCTCAATGGAACACTGTAGAACAGGGGTTCTTAAACTCTTTCAGCCTGGGACCCAAATTAGAAATCCTGTGTTTTCTTGGGACCCAAGCTTATGAAAACATGCAACTATATGTAAATATTGGTACATTTAATTTGCCCTTATACCTAAAACAAATGCAATGTAGACAAATAACAACGAAATGAAATACCCATATAAATAGCTATTCATGTTTATATTTTCCCATTAAAAACACTCTTACATATCTGTCTAGGTAGGAACTGTTGCTGTTAAAATACAATAAATCATTTTCATTCTGAACTGGAATAAACTGATTGAAGCAAGATGCTTTTTGAGGCATCACACAGATGTAGTCCAGAAAACACACACACACACACACAGTCCTAATGAGAGGTGTGTGATTGGTTGAAGTTTTCAACAAGCAGGTCTATTCTGGGCTCAGTTTTTGACAGTGCAACCCTGAGGTCATGCTCAGCATTGAGTCGGTTTCTGTACTTGTGTTTTAAGTACGCCAGAGTTGAAAACCCTGACTCACATAGGTAGGTGGTGCCAAACATCTACTGCTTTCTCAGCCAGGCAGGAGACCGCTTCCTGCTGTAGATGAGCAACCCAGAACTGTGTGAGTGTGTTTGCCTCAAAAAGCATCATGCTTCAATCAGTTTATTCCAATTCAGAATAAAAAATATTACTTGTATTTTAACAACAACAGTTCCAACCTAGACTTGTTTTCAACAATAATATGTACTGTAACTTACGCCTTGATCACACCGATAGGGTTTTTGCGCAAAATGAGACGCAGCATCATCTGGATATGTGTGTGTTATAGCGTGGACACTATATAAATAATTACATTGAATATGTGTTGTACTTACCTGCAGTATAGTATGATTACTATTCATGTGTGTATGGTTATTATTGGCATTGACCGTGACCTTTCCCCTTTGATGATGTCATCACCCAGAATCGGATCTGTACAATGTGACTACCACATGTTGAGGGGCTGTATCGTTTTGCTGTATTTGTACACCTTTTATTTCTTAGGTTGAAAGTAAAGGAAAGTAATATTAAAATGTGTGTGGGCATTCCTTGTCAAGTTACTACAGTGTGCAACTTAAAGTTTAACATTCAACTTCTACTATCATTTCTGTCAAGCCATCTATGCATACAGTTTGACGCATACGTTCGATAAATCCAACATATGCACCACACAGAACATACTACAACGCAATGCTGCAAGGCAAACGCAGCATTCCATCGGGAAATAATGTACTTCTGGTATACCCAAATGCACCCCTCTGCCGGTGTGATCGAGGCGTTATGGTTGCACTATCAGTAACTAGCTATTAGCTGTGTAAAAGGGGATTGTTTGAAAGAGAACCTCACATCGACTACTACAAGAGATAGTACTCCCTTATTTCTGCTTATTATCACCTGTTATAAAATGACAACAATGCCTTGCTAGCTGACTTACTCTTCCACTGTCGAAGCACTGTTTCCTGAAGCATTCTGCCCTGTCCTGAAAGAACTCCCTGGTTTACCGTCATGCTGTGGATGAGAGACTCATTAAGCACTAACCCGCACAAAACACATTATGGGTGCTCCTCGTTATTTCTCAAAGTGTGTATTAAACCAAGAGGGAGAAACTCATCGCTGTGTTTGTGTTTCATGACAATTGAGCCCAGTCAGAACTTCTTGCTAGCTTGAGTCCATTCGATGATGGCGAGTGGGAATGACAGTTGCCGCGTTCAAAACAACTGGGAACTCGGAAAAAACGAGCTCCGACTGGGTAAAAAACGATTTGAACGGTCATCCAACTCGGCATCTTTCTATAGCTCCGACTTTCCGACCTGAATATCACTGACGTCATGATTTGACCTAGTATTTTTGTTTTGAACGGCGCAAGTGGCTGACAACCCATCATTATCTGCTGCTGTACGACAGTACTGCAGCTTGTGGGTCACGAAGTGATCTTCAAGAAAACTGCCGAAAAAAGATCCGGTTAACCGCAAAACACACAGGCATCTCCCACCCACTCGCGCAGCTGCCAAACTGACCAACCTTGCTTTTTTGGATAAATTATTAAGCTACATAAGGATGTAGGCGGGGAGGGAAAGAAGTGTACTGATGCATGCTATGATCATTGTGTGCTGTAGAATTGTTTTTATTATATTGTGTAACTTCTCTCTATTTCAAGGAGAATATTTCATTATGTTGGGAACATTATAGCCTGAACAATTACCCACCTTTCCCGGTTGTACAAAGGATTTATCCATCAATAATGGAACACTATTCAATTCCCTAAGGAAAGGGACTCTCCTCCCTGGGGCTGGGTAAGCAAGACCTTTCCTTCCCTGTTAAGCGTGAACACAGAACGTTTCAGCCAGTCAGGCAAGGAGCCTCAGCACCTAGCCCCGCCCCCACTCTCCATTCGAACTGAACTATTAAAGCGTGGCGCGAATAATAGCCACGGCCGACCGAAATCCTTCTGCTGCTTAGATGTCAGCGTAGTTGGTGACTGGAAAGGACCCTTGCTTACCTTCAGATTATAATTGTGACAAATAGGCCTATGGTTTATCCCTACTTGCTAAGAAAGTTTCCTATGAATTTAAATGATAGATGGTGTTCTGTTTATGGTGGAATATACAGTACCAGTCAAACGTTTGGACACACCTACTCATTCAAGGGTTTTTCTTTGTTTTTTACTATTTTCTACATTGTAGAATAATAGTGACAACATCAAAAGTATGAAATAACACCAACAAAGTGTTCAACAAATCAAAATATATTTTATATTCGAGATTCTTCAAAATAGCCACCCTTTGCCTTGATGACAGCTTTGCACACTCTTGGCATTCTCTCAACCAGCTTCATGAGGTAGTCACCTGGAATGCATTTCAATTAGCATGTGTGCCTTGTTAAAAGTCAATTCATGGAATTTCTTTCCTTCTTAATGCGTTTGAGCCAATAATTTGTGTTGTGACAAGGTAGGGGTGGTATACAGAAGACAGCCCTATTTGATAAATGACCAAGTCCATATTATGGCAAGAACAGCTCAAATAAACAAAGAGAAACGACAGTCCATCATTACTTTAAGACATGAAGGTCAGTCAATCCGGAAAATTTCACGAACTTTGAAAGTGTCTTCAAGTGCAGTCGCAAAAACCATCAAGCGCTGTGGGTTGGGGGCAGGTGCAGTTTGAGCTTTCTTCAAAGCACTAACTATATTTCCCTCTGTAGGTTTTTTTTCTCTTTAGATGTATGTTTAGTGACTGGCTTCAATATACTTTCATTAGTCACCTAAGTAAAGATGTTGCTAGAGTGCTGACAAACCTTTCAACGTATGCTCAAGCTGTAAATTCTCAAACTATTTTGAGCACTTAGTTTACTGACAGACTAGCTCTGGTCTACGCGCATGGGTCAGATGAACATGCAGCTGGTAGTGAAGTCGTGATGCAGGCACAAGGACCAGAGATTTTGCTGTCCCACATTCCCACTCTCGACAGGCCTGGGATTTGAACCAGCAACCCGGTGGGCAATGGTTCACCTCTTTAATCTTCAGGTTGTACAGTATATTTTATGGTAGCCTACAGATTAAAGGGCTGACCTAGTAAACGCTGACTGCCACCACTTCTTTCTCCAATACTTTCCAAACATCCCACATCACTCTGTGTTACTGTATGTTGGTGTTTTCAGAAGACACATTAGTTCTGGTTCGGTAGACTGTTTACCTTTTTGGTATTTTGAACATTATTTTCTTCCAAATTCTCCTCAGACAACGCTGAAGTGAGAGCAGAACATGGACGTGGTTGTGCGCAAAAAACACAGAGGACACCAGGAGTTTGCTGTCCAGGCCCAGCACTTGAAACTGTCGGACCTAGGACTGAGACTGAAAGCTCAGGGCTTTCACAACAATTACCTCTTCAAAGACAACATCCTAGAATACCCAAGGCCAGAGTTCCGGGTTTCCCAGCTCAGACACGACATGAATGAAGGCGGGCTATTTGGCATAGCCGTCGATAGCCAAGGGGGGGTTCCGTGCTAGGGACCGAGAGGAGGGGCCAGAGGACCCAGAAGAGGGGCCAGAAGGTTTGGACCTGCTGTGGTGGAGCTTGTCTTTGGGAGTGGAGGAGATGGCCTCGGCTGAACAGGGTCTGCTCCAGGCCAGGTACCCTGACAGGACGGAGGAGCAGGCCAGGGAGCAGACATCCTTCCTGCAGAGGTTCGCCACCTCACCTGCCTTCCTGGACACCTCCAGGCTGGGCTCCTACCGCTTCACCTAGCCCCTGGAGAAGCTGCTCAAGAGATACCGGGAACAGGTACTGAAGTCTTAATAGTGGAACAGTTAAAATATATGTAGAATAAACATACAGGACTGCTGGGTAGTATCAATGGAGGCTGCTGAGGGGAAGACGGCTCATATCAATGGCTGGTACGGAGCAAATGGAATGGCATCAAACACATTGAAACCATGTGTTTGACGTATTTGATACCATTCCACCAATTCCATTAAGGTACCACCAACCTCCTGTGCTGGGTACATACCGAGACCATGTGAGAATTTGTGGTCAAATAATTGAAAGAAACAAGATCATGTAATTTAATGATAATAAATTATTATTAATAATAAAGGTATTTGTCTTTTTGTTTAGCTATGTTTTGGACACGAGCCAATCCTGCGTGTGTATGAGACAGTGCTGTACAAACAGGAGGTGATGTACTCAGTGCAAGTCCACAGTCACTTCAACAACGACCTCTTTGAGAAGTACCCTCTCCTCCAGGACAATGATGATGGAGTCTGTATTACAGAGATGGATAGATCATCTGGAGACCCGAGGACATGTGTGAGACACACAGGTTAGAGTGTGTGCGTGAGTGTAATTCACAGATAAATGTAAACAATGTGCCGACTCAAAACGTTCCCATGCAATGCTAAATATATCAGTTACTTTAGATGTAACAGCAATAGTAGCTACAAAAATCACTCTCAATTCTAGCATGGGATGCCTTAATTACAACTTGAATTAACTCACACTTTCACTTCCTTTCCACAGCTTCAAACTGGTGCCAAAGCCCTACCAGAACCAGGATGTAGCCCACCTGATCCCTGATCCACAGAAACACCAGTTCTACGTTTGGGACAACGTTGCTGTAGCGTTCCACATGGATGATTCACAGGTTAGATTTCACATTAACTTTATTGATGGGATCAATAATGTTTCTACCGGAAAGTAACAGGGTGTAAATGATTTAGTTCTAGCCCAACTCTAACACACCTGATTCAATTAATCACCTAATTATCAAGACCTTAATTAGTGTAGTCTTTGTGTAAGTGCTGCCTGGAACAAAACCCTGCACACCCTGTATCTCTCCGGGACAGGTTTTAAGACAACTGCTTCGTTGGCATAACTTTTAAAGGTACAACAATGTTGACAAAGCAGTGAATAGGAATACTTTACAATCAGCAATCAAAAGTCTAGCTATCACTTAAGATGATTAAATATTCTGTTCCTATCAGATGTTGACCTTCGATACATACAATTTGAGAGATCATCTGAGATTCTGTGAGCCGGGACAGCGACCAATTTACCCCGACTGCGAATTCACCACATACGAGGAGGCCAAGGAGATGGTGGACTGCTATTGGCCTTACTACCATACCCCCCTGTACTGATAAACTTTCTACCACACCCCAATGTTCTGATAAACGTACTACTAGAATGATGATGCAGCGGCCATAACACCTGCAAATCTGTGTACACAACTAACAAACCTTGATTTTATTTTGATTTGATGATGATTAGGATGTCAAACAGAAAGTTAAAGTTAATGTTGTTATGCTTTCAACATGCTTCACTGGTTTAAACCCAGCAGGCTACATTTTTTTGTGCTTTTGGTAGTCAGCAGTAGTATATTGTTTGTCAGGTTTGAGAACATATTGCTTTTGTTAGTCAGCAGTAGTATATTGTTTGTCAGGGTTGAGAACATATTACTTTTGTTAGTCAGCAGTAGTATATTGTTTGTCAGGCTTGAGAACATATTGCTTTTGTTAGTCAGCAGTAGTATATTGTTTGTCAGGCTTGAAAACATATTGCTTTTGTTAGTCAGCAGTAGTATATTGTTTGTCAGGCTTGAGAACATATTGCTTTTGTTAGTCAGCAGTAGTATATTGTTTGTCAGGGTTGAGAACATATTGCTTTTGTTAGTCAGCAGTAGTATATTGTTTGTCAGGGTTGAGAACATATTGCTTTTGTTAGTCAGCAGTAGTATATTGTTTGTCAGGCTTGAGAACATATTGCTTTTGTTATTGTTGTGCCTTTGCTCTACAAGGAGCTAAAATGACTCAAGTATTTTTTGTTAAGTTAGAATTTCTAAGAAAATAAATCTTCTAGATTGGGACTAAACTACCTAGCCCAGTCTCTCAATTCAGCCTATGGCATTCCCTCATCACAATGCTGTTGACATTATCTTTAATGCTTTATTTAATATCAACAGACTTACATGACCTCTGCTACTCCTGTCTCTAGTTTCAGCCCTTCTTTAATCATGATTGGCGTCCCAGGACGGGATCGGCAAACGTATCCTCAGTTTGTTTGGCAATGTCTTTTACAGTAGTAGTACAGCAGATAATTATTTTTGCAGGGCAATATTGTCCGTTTGTTGTCACTTTTAGATCTTTCTGCTGTATAGAGCCAGAGTAATGGTAACTCCCACCTTGTGCAGCGTTTCAGACGCATGTCACAGAGGGTAGGATCAAAATCAAGGCCCCAGCGAGAATTGAACTCACGACCCCTGGTTTACAAGACCAGTGCTCTAACCACTGAGCTATGGAGCCATACATGTTTATGAGAAGAATTGGAATGCTATAAAGAACACACCTATCAGAGAGTTAAAGAAAGAGACACACCCAAGTAACCAAACATGCAGGTTACCTGGTCTGGCTCCTACAGTAAAAGCAGATTCCTTGTCACCCTTTGTTATACTGTAGTGTCTGAGGAGTTATGACTTTGCTAATGTTTTCAAATGGAACCTGAGAGGAGGTTTATTCAGTTTTAGAGGGAGCAGTTTTAGAGGGACACCCCATAGAACAGAATAAGTCTGTTGTGTGGAGACAGGTGATTGGTCTGAAGGGGAACACCCATATCAGATTACATAGAATATATACCACAGTTGGGACAAAGGAAGACAGAATAATCATATTAGAGATGGGGCGATTATTCTCCAGGTATCTGCAGGTATCTGTAAATCGACGCTGTAACCCTTTGTTATGAATAAACCTTATGATGAAAATACAGCGTCAGCGGTTCTCCTTGGTCATCACAGCATAATTAGCAACGTTTACTCGACACAACAAAATGGTGACGAGGTATTCGGACGAATTGCGTTTTTCTCAGCGTTCCATTCATGGGCGCCGAGCTGACTTTGGCTCCAGAGGCAGATAAGGTTGAGTTTTCTCGCTACTTTGGGCTCTGGTCAGTTCGTGTGTCTGTGTGTGTGGGCGTTGAGAGAATGCACCGTTAAAGAACTTGCGTGTGTGCGTTGCTGATATGCTGTGGGATAGGAGTCCGTTCTAAATTTGTTTGCGCTGGTAAACAACGCAAAAAGGGGGGAGTGTCTATAGGGATATTTTGCTTGAATAAAGTTCAAGAAGAATAGATTGAAAGGAATAAGGCCAAGGTATATGTGTACAAATTAGAACCATTGCGAATCTATGGAAAAACCTTCTTAAAGGAGGTGATCACTAGGATGGGCCAAAAATCCTAATAACACGTTAGGTGAAGTTAGGTAAGTCCATGGGGCTTGAGGCTGTGGTATATATATTCGATTGTATGTTACCTCTCAGCATGTGGTTGACGAATCATTTGGTTGACGTGACCGCTCATTGAATTTCCGGGGGACCTCGTGGTAGCAAAAATTTAGAGAACAAAGGAATTATACGGCGCAACGGAGGTAACAGGCTACATGCTACATGCTAATTGCTAAATGCTACATGATAAATGATACATGCTACATGCTACAAATGTTACCTTGGAGGTCCATAGGAATGGATAGAGCCTCCAAAACTGTGTTTAGAATAGTGTGGGATTTGTGTCCTATGGTTTGTGAGCTCTGTTAAGTGTTATTGTTTGTCTATGAGGGGTAAAAGAGAGGAAGTACAGCGGGACTGTTAACTTTCTGTTGTCTAGCTTGGAGAGAGCTGGGAGAGAGCTCCGTCCATGCTGAAATCGTATTGATGTTTGAACTACGCATGCGCGTGATTTTATGACTAGAGTTACGTAGGGGTAAATATGCCACTCCTCTGCCTACACTCCTCTGCGGGGAGAGCAGACGAACGAAGGAACGAAGAGAGAGGAGAAGAGTTAGACTAATAGTGTATTCTGGTTGTTACATCGGCTGTTGTTTGAAGATGAAACTGTTTTCTTGAGACCTATTGAATTGATAAACTAGAGATATGTCGACGGATAAAAAAAAATATATAAAAATTAAATAAATAAAATAAAATGTTATTGAGCTATTTATACGATTCCTGAGTTATTTCTTAGCGCGAATGTGAACGGAGGAATATTGAATGTTTGTAATAGCTCAGTGAGTGCATAAACTACTAAATTCTTGTCTGTTTCTTTGTTATTCTGTCATGTGAGAGACGATAAGAGGAAGGAGGAGAGAGAGAGAGAGCGGAAGTGCTGACGTGTACATCAAGCGACAGGGTGTGACGCGACAGAGTCTGCTGCAACAGGATCAAGTCAGAAAATCAAGGCTAGTACTGTTTTATTTACAAAAACCTTACCTTCCCATACAGGATATTTTGTGTGCCTAGCATATTTGATGTTATGACAATTTGACAGGGACTTGGCAACAGACTGATCAATTGACGTAATTGCGTATTGGAGTTTTTGTGCATGAGTGGGTTTGATTAGATATGAGGGGAATCGAGTACTGACATTATTCTGTAAAATTAAGATAATTGGGTGCTAATTAAGCAATGGGGTTTGTGACTACTGTAGTGTTGCAGGATTATAGGTCTTTATTTTTTGGGTTGCTCTGAAGTTGACTACTTTCATTTACTTTTCCTGATTGGATGTGGTAAGATTGCCACTAATCAATAGTTTGGTAAAATAAAATGAACAAATGAATAAATTGATGAATAAATTAATTGATTAATTATAATTTTGGGAGAAAAAAATAGGGAGGAAGCCATAGGCTATATAGTCTAAAATAATGAAATAATTTACAATAAAGTAATATAAAATAGTTGTTACAAGGGGGAAAAAGGACATCAGAACTATGAAAGTAATTACACCTGTTGATATAGTTGAAATTAGTAAACCTTGCAATACCATTAACTAAATGTTATCTGGAAAAGGGAATAAAAGTTGGCCTGACATTGAACAACCATAGCTAGTGGAAGGAATCTTAACCCTGACGTCATCAACATGATGAAAGTTGCTGAATAATAGAGAGAGGAGAAGCAGAAAGGACCATTAAGATGAATCCAAAACTCCAAAAGTAAGAAGAAAATGAGATGTCTGGAAACTAAGAGAAGAGTGAGGTTAAGGAAGAAGGAACTTGAAGATGAAGAAGATGAAGATGATGATGATCAGAGTGATTGAGAAGAGATCATGGGTGGATATGACTCTGTGATTAGAAGGAAGTTGGGAAGAGAGGAAAGAAGAAGGATACTAGAGATTTGATCTCTGATGGAAGTTGAAGGAAGAAGGATACTAGAGATTCGATCTCTGAGGAAAGTGAAGATGGAGAAAGCGATGAAGATTTGGAGATTAAAGGGGCTTTATGTTAAATAGGATTTTATTCTACAATGATTAGTAAAGAAGAAATAGAAAGAGATATAGACTGATGTGTATTATGCCTGGATAAGGGGAATAATTTAGAAGAGAAAAAAAAAGAACTGGAAGAACAACTCAAGAAGCTGAAGATACAGAAGAGAGAAAAAACTGCTGAGAAAAGGATCCCAAGAATTGGAGGAGAAGCATACATTGAGGCCAAGGGAAGAGAGCACCAGTAAGAAGATGATATCTCGAGGACAAAACTTAGAATATAAGCCTTTGAAGAATACCGATATGTCAACAACAAGAAAGAACAGGACCAAGAAACTCTCAGAAAACTTGATGAAATACAACTGGGGGGAGAAGAAGAAGGAGAAGAAAAGCTTTGGTTATGAAGAATCAGTGTGCACCAAATCAACAATCACTGCTACAGCTTCAACTGAACAAGGTCAAATGCAATTGTACCAGCCACAACTAGTGGTACAAGTTGTTTCATATCCATAGATAGTTTCTGGACTGAGAAAGAATTGGAGAGGAAGAGGACAATAAGATTTAGAAAGAGGAAGAGGAGGAAGATTAAAGCCATACTTCCAGCAATCTTAAGAAGTGTGTTATAATTGTGGACAGGTTGGTCACTTTGCTGTGAGTGCAATGGGCCAGAAGGAAACACAAGAGGGAATTTCAGAGGAAGATACAGGAGCAAGTGAAGATCATCTGGAGGACAGGTGAACCCTTATAGGGACAAGGAGCAAGGATTCTAGGGGTGCCTAGAAGATCCGAAGGGGGGTGTCAGCTGGTAGCACCAATTAGAAAAAGATCCAACAATTGAAGTGAAAACAAAGGACTATGAGAAGTGATGGTGGATAGTGGAAAAGCTTTTATCTGTGTTCAGCCTGAAGAGGTTAAACATTTCACTATGTAAAATTAACTAATTAGGATAGGGATTTGAGGGAGTAAAACAGTTGATTAC